GTTGCAAATTCTTTTCATAAGGAATGAGATGAGCCTCGACTAACAAAAATGTACAAAGTGCGGGGCCCTCTAAATGTATATATATATAAAAATACTTAGAATTCGGGACATGCCGTTTAGCGAATTTCATGGCTTTCCCCAAAATAACAATACGCTAGTTGCTTTAAGCGCGCCTTTAATAATTTATCTTCCTTAACTCGGGTGCACATTTATGTGACCCAAATCCAAATCTCAACCGAGTCGAGATATGTCAACAATCACGTGTACATTGATGTAACGTGATTCGAGGTATGTTTTCACGACATTGCAATTCCTTGTAAAAATAATAATAATGGTTATGAAAGCGGTAAAAAGTTGAAATTTACACATAAGTTCATATTTGTATAAAATCAGATAATCAAGCCGAATATAACAGTTGAGCGACCGTGCTAGAACCACGGAACTCGGGAATGCCTAACACCTTCTCCCGGGTTAACAGGATTCCTTATCCAGATTTCTGGTACGCAGACTGTAATATGGAGTCATTCTTTCCTCGATTCGGGATTAAAATTGGTGACTTGGGACACCCTAAATCTCCCAAGTGGCGACTGTGAAATAAATAAATCAATCCCGTTTCGATTGTCCTTTGATTGGAAAAAACTCACTTGCGCCCTCGCGGGTATGTAAAAAGGAGGTGTGACAACGGTAAAGACAATTTTTATAAAATAGGTGAACGGAGAGTATTTTTAAACTTAAACAAATAGGTTAGGGGCAGTTTTGACCCTTTTCCGAAATCTGAATTTCGTATTGAAATCTCATAAGTAGTTGATTATAAAGAGATGTAACCCCGAAGAAAATATGAAGTAGGTATAAGTAGGACCAGTCCTTGTTTATATTATATTCTTATTCGAATTTCTACCACCCTTGATTTTCACAGCAAGCAAGACATATCTAATTATCAAAGTGAAGCAAGGTGAAACACGTTTCAACATAGATTTGGTTGAAACTTGAAAAATTAATTTTTTAAAAATAATTTTTGAAAGTTGAAATTATGTTTGTATATATATTTTATTTGAAAAAAAGTTAAAGTTTTGTCAGTGGAAGAAAAAATTTCACCCAAAAACTACCTTAAACCAGATTTTGGGAACTTGAAAAAAAAATTATCTTTTTTTTTTCTTTAAAATTTGATCATATTTCATAAACAAACAATGTTTTCAACTTTTTTTTTTCTAAAAAAAAAAACATAGTATAAAGCAACAATTATACTTTTCTTTTAATGTAATGGAGTAGTTAACTAGGCTACATGAATGTTTTGTTGGCCTAATTAAGTAATTTATTTCTGTCTAGCAAGTATATATGAAACGGATTAATATTTCGTGTGAATTTTTAAAAATTATACATGTAATTGTCAAACTCTTATAAACATATATTGGGATGAATCTAAAAATAGACGAGGTAATTAGGGTGATCGCTCAACTTTTACTTTATTACACAAAAGTTACTGAATTATTTTTGCAACGAAAAGTTACTCAACTTTAATTAAGCATCACGAAATTATTTTTTGTAACAAAAAAATCATTCAATTTTGATAGTGTATCACAAAAAGCTAATAGGCAGAAATAAAACGAGATATTTTCAGGTTGAGTGACTTCTTATTAGTACGAAATAATTGTTTAATGACTGGTCTCTATATGATACGTAGACAAATATGAGTATTTTTTCGTTATAAAATATCGTTCACAGATTTTAGTATAAGAAAATCAAAGTTAAGCGATCATCAATTTGTTTGATGCACAGTGTTTACAGCTCTCTAATCTATCATTACTAAATCAAAAATGTTAATTTAATTAAAAAGCTTATGCTAATATAAGGATTAGCGGTTAACAAAAAGGGACAATACCGTCATAATTTGAATTTTACTCAGAACAGCTTTGAACACTGACAGCTCCTCTGTGTCCCCAGTCTACTGTACTATTAGGCAGCCTTCTCCCTCTCAAATCACATGCTTCTCTCACTCAACTTAGTGAGAGAAACATCTGGAGATATTCAAACCAATTCTTCAATTTTCTCTTCTTCGTTTCGGTATAAAATCGGAACTTTTGATCAACAGCGGATCAAGCAATGGCTGGATATGTAGGTGTTTTCGTATCTGATCCTTGGCTTCAGAATCAGTTCACTCAGGTTGAACTTCGGCGTTTAAAATCTCACGTAAGTTTTTCAATGTTCAATCTCTATAATTGATTAATTACTCTGCTTATGCAGTGATTTATGTAGTAATTGGTTAATTCACGTATGTATTGATGAACTAATTTTGGATCGACGCGGAATTGATTTATTTTATCTATTGATCGATTGATCAGGATCAGTTCATTTTAAGGATTTTTGTTCTTTGCAGTTCAATGCAATGAAGAGAGAAAACGGAGGTCTGAAGCTTGCAGACTTACCTTCCAAAATGGCGAGATTAAAACACGTGGATGAGAATCTTGCAGAGCAAGAAAGAGAGACGTTTCTGAGAGATTCCTATAAAAACTTGGATGAAGACGTTGATTTCGAGCTATTTCTTCAGGTAACACGCGATCGCAATCAGTGAAATGTTATTAGACGCATTGGATTCATGTCGATACCCTGCATTTTCAAATTTGAAGAAGATTGCAGAGCCCTTGTCCTTTTTAGAAACTGTTGTTACAGTCAGGAACAAAAGCTGAATTGAGTTTAAACTTGATTTGAAAGATGTTGAACTACCAGTGATTTACTATCGCAGAATCATACACAAATCAAATTGAGAAAAGAAGTAACACAAGGATTTAACGATGTTCAACAAAGCTTACGTGTTGGGGCGAAAGCGGAGAGAATTTTCCCACTATGAAATTTGTATTAACAGCTAGGAAGAGGAAGAAGGAAACATAAGTGAATAACAAGCTTAACCAGATCTATACTTAGCATAATAAATAACAATAGTAGTACATTTTAGGTTTGCTTCTTAGTAACTACTACAAGCCTTTGGTTTCAGTAGTTTCACTATGTCTCTAAACTTTGTAAATTGTGATGACAAACTCATCAAGAATTTGTTGGTGGATTTATGTAAGAATGCAAGAATTGTTGAACTCGTGACAGGTTTATTTGAAAATCCAAGCACATGCTGCTGCAAGGATGGGAAGTACTGCAAAGAGTTCATCAGCTTTTGTCAAGTCAGCAACTTCTACATTGCTCCACACCATCAGTGAATCTGAGAAGGCATCATATGTTGCACATATTAACAGCTATCTCGCTGATGATGAGTTTTTGAAGAAATACCTTCCTGTTGATCCGTCAAGTAATGATCTCTTTGAGATTGCAAAGGATGGAGTTCTTATTTGGTGAGCATCAAATCTTTCTCTTTGTATATTAATAATTTAATACTATGCCTCAAATATGTAAAACTTCTTGGACTAGATTGTTAATAAATATTGTTCTTCAGCAAGCTTATCAATGTCGCAGTACCTGGAACAATTGATGAACGGGCAATAAATATGAAGAGGATGCTGAATCCTTGGGAAAGGAATGAAAATCATACCTTGTGCCTCAATTCTGCTAAGGCAATTGGATGTACTCTAGTCAATATAGGCACTCAAGACTTTATTGAAGGAAGGGTATGTATCACTTTCACATTAGCAATCTGACCTCCAAATGGATTTGTCATATAAATTTAGGACATTATTCCGCAACATCTTTAGTTTTTGGCTCTGTTCTCTGTTGAGTTACCATACGGATCCCTTCATTCGTAGGTTTGTAAACTTTGTTTCTGGCATGTCTTTCTCGTAAAATCATGTAACAGTCTAATGGCTCTGTCAATAGCATTATTTCCCTTGGCTTTGAGCAGCAACCATGTAATATCAGCTAGCTTGCCTTCTTTCATTTGAATATGAATGTAACCCTGAAACTTACGGCTGAGGGATGACGTCAAATCTCTTCTTGCGTGTTCAGTGTTATGATTTAATCATTTGTCTTTATTCCTGCTGCCTCAAGTCACAACATTATCTTGTTCTTTTGTCAAATGGCTGGATTATGTTAATTTTAGTCATCCTTCCTATGCTCCTTTTATGCAATATCATGGTCTAATTGTTAAATCAAAAATGTGTTTCATGTTCTCGGTATTCCTCAAGACATATTCATTAGTTTAATTATATCAGCGTGAAACTTTTTTCTGTTTGATTTTACGGCTGGCATTTTTTGTTGAACTTCAGTTTTTGCAGTGTTACTTACTGGTTTGTGTGGTCTTATGGCTGGCATCTTTTGTAAGTTCAGTTTCTGCAGTGTTACATACTGGTCTAATACTTAAGTCTTTTCTGTCGGTTTCCAGAGGCATCTTGTTCTTGGAGTGATATCTCAGATTATTAAGGTAAGAGTTCTATATGTGTCCTTACTGAAAATTTTAGCAGATTTTAAAACCTTGAATAATGAGGTTATTTTAATACGAATAGATTACCTTACAAGATGAAGGAATCAACATTAAGATCTTAAAAGTCACTGGCATATATTTTAGCTCGTAAGACTTAAAATCATAACCAAAAAGATTTGAGGATATTGATTTTCTTTGATGTTATTTCAGATTCAACTATTGGCAGATCTCAACTTAAAGAAAACACCTCAGTTGATGGAGTTAGTTGATGATAGCAAGGTAAACACACTCATCAATGCCTCATTAATTGGCAGCTTTGGCAAAACTAGTATTATATACTTGATTATCTCAAATCTGTGATGTCAGGACATAGAGGAGCTGATGAGTCTACCTCCAGAAAAAATCTTGCTTAGATGGATGAATTTTCAATTGAAGAAAGCTAAATACGAGAAAATTGTGACAAACTTCTCATCCGACATAAAGGTAATTAAAAATGAGTTGGAATTTGCATCATCATGCAAATTTGAATATTTGCAACATTTTCCTTGGTCTTTAAAAGATAATCTTTTCCCTTCAGAGAGAACGAGTCTGTGGTGCTTGTAATTTTATTTCCAATGCCAGAAATTCTAAATAAGTTTTCCATTGAAACTAAGGATCAGCCAGTTCACATAATTTAAAGATATCTGTACGTTGAGGGTTCTTAAATAAGCTTTTTAGTTTTATAGAATGAGTGATTTGTTGTCCTTCTACCCCAGAAATAAAGCAAAAGAGCTTTCCTCTTCATCCCTTTCATGTAATTTCTTTATCAATTTTGAGTGTATAATGATAATTCTTAGTCATCCATTTGCTTTTGTAGGACGGAGAAGCTTATGGTCACCTCTTAAATGTTCTTGCCCCAGAGCACACTAATCCTGCCACACTCACTACGAAAGACCATTTAGCAAGAGCGAAGTTGGTTTTGGAACATGCGGACAGGATGGGTTGCAAAAGATACTTAACAGCAAAAGATATTGTGGAAGGTTCACCAAATCTTAACCTTGCATTTGTGGCACATATCTTTCAGCATAGGTAAGAATCAAGTGTTTCTTTCATAAGTTCAACTTATTAACTTGCAGCCTATTTCCGTTGAAGTTTTCTTTTGTTTATAACACATCTATGAGAAGAAGACAGCTGTTGCTGGTTAATCCTTTTGTGTTCTTAAAGAATTTTAATTGTTGCAGACCAAGGTTTTGGTATATTTAATTGTCATTAGCAATATAGACAGAATATATGCAACCAATGGACCATGTTAATTTGCATTTTATCCCTTGTTCTTTTAAAAACACTGTCAAATGCTAGCAGAGTGACTTAGAGTAGTAGCTCCTTTTGGCACCTCAATATTTTGATAAACTGACCAAACTACTTGTATGATTAGCCAATTCAGCTAGTCAAGCTTGAGAGATTATTACTTCATAGCATGTATGGAGAAATTTGTGCTATATTTAACTGTAAAATTTAGTTGTTTGATTGTTTGTTTCTATCTTGAATTAACCATAAACCTCTTATCCATAGGAATGGGCTATCAACTCAAACTAAGCAAATATCCTTTCTGGAGATTTCACCGGATGAAGCTCAAATGTCCAGGGAAGAGAGAGCTTTCCGCTTTTGGATCAATAGTCTTGGAAATTCAGCTTACATAGATAATGTTTTTGAAGATCTCAGAAACGGGTGAGTACCCATGGTACTCTAGTATCGCAAACTCTCGTTATCGTGGTGGGGCTTATTTTATGTTCCTACGAAATTTCCTGACTAAGTTTAAAAGATAAAGAATTTGAACTCTGCTGTGATCTAATTTGCTCATGCAACGACATACGGAAAATTATAACTCTATCAGGTTTTTGAAAGTGTAAAGAATATGAAGACGACTTCTATGAGTGTGTGTGTATGTGGTCGCGTACGCAAGTGCATTTATTTCAATCTAATGAATGTTCGTGTCTTTCCAGATGGTTGCTTTTAGAGACACTTGACAAGGTCTCTCCTGGAATTGTTAATTGGAAAATTGCTACTAAGCCTCCAATTAAGATGCCCTTCAGAAAAGTAGAGAATTGCAACCAAGTTGTGAAGATTGGGAAACAACTGAAGTTTTCTCTTGTAAATATTGCTGGAAATGACATTGTACAAGGAAATAAGAAATTAATATTGGGTAAGTGATATCGTTCTTTATTCTTCTTTTTTTCTCCTTAAATTTATTCATATCTGTAATATCAACCTGCTTTGTTTGGTTATTTGTGGGGGGGTAACTCAACCTGTTATGGACCAACATTCTCCGTTCCCTATTTCAGCTTACTTGTGGCAGTTAATGCGATGTAACATGCTTCAGCTCTTGAAGAATTTGAGATTTCATTCCAATGGGAAGGAAATCACTGATGCAGATATTTTAGAGTGGTCCAACAACAAAGTAAGAAATTCAGGAAGCAAGAGTCGCATGGCTAGTTTTAAGGTATAATTTCTAAAGATTAGCCTTTTCAGATTCAGAACAATAGAGTTGAGTAGGCCTTCATTGATTATTCTGATAAAGCATGGGCTTTGCGAGCGCGTGTGTGTCTGTGTGTGCGTGCATTCGTGTGTGTGCGCGCATATAGAATCTATTTTCAATGTTTTGAACCTTGCTTTGAAATGTTTTGTGCTGGGTAATTAAAAGGGGTGAAAATGGTGTTGTGTCCTCATCAAGCTCAAGTTCAAGTTCTACTTAAGCAGACTATACATGTATACTTATGATATGTAAACCCCTAACCAATTAACTTTCAGTTAGATGACTAAATGTAACAGTCAAGTTTTTTTCCTGGTGGAAACTTACATGATATGGCTCGCGAAGAAAGTTTTTAACTTCTATACAATCCCTGATTTCAATTGGACACCTGTTTTCCCCCGTAGATTTGATGCTTCGTGTGCATCTTGTTCGGATCATGTATCCTATTGTGCTTATTGAGTAATGCCGCACAAGTTGGCTAGCATGCACCTCTTTTACCTCCCATTACTGTGAGACAGAGAACTGACTCTGTTAAATTTACAGGATAAGAGCTTGTCAGATGGCATCTTTTTCCTTGAGTTGCTTAGTGCTGTACACCCTCGAGCTGTTAACTGGAGTCTTGTTACGAAAGGAGAAACTGGTAACTTATTTCAGACTTCAAATAGGCTCCTTCTTTCAGTTGTTCTAATTTAATTTAGTTGCTTGTTAGTATCACTATCAACACGAGGCATTGTTCTTTCTCTCTATTTCTTTTCTGTTCTCTTTATTTTACTAATAGCAAATCCATCAAAATACTATTGGATGGAAATTTTGTGTGATGCCCGGCTGAATCTTTTGAGCTTGCTGCAAAGAGAGTGTATTTTGAACTTCATATCATGGAGTAGCACAAATCAATCTACACTAACGCATTTTCTTATAATTGAATCTCCAGAACCACTTTATGAAGGTTTCTAATATAGTAAATGACTGACTATGGTGACAGTGGCGGATGTAGTATAGTATCACGAGTTCAACTGAACCTATAATTTTTGGTGCGGAGTAAAAATTTATGTGTAAAAATTCATTAAAATTACAAAAATAGTAAATATGAACCCATAACTTTAAAAATATAATGGGTTCAATGCTAAAAACTTTAAAAGTTGAACCCATAAGATTTAAATCCTGAATCCGCCTCTGTTAATGGTGATAGTTGTGAACGTGTACTATATCTTCTATCCTTTATATATTGACAACCCACTTGGGGAGCTATGAAGCATTTCTAGCTTACTTATGGAAAAGGAACTTCAGCATCACTTAGTCAGATGATACTTTAATAGTATTCCCTAGGTAAGGGAGGTGCCAAGGTCTTAATAGAAAGGGCTCACAGTTCCAGTTTGCTATGTCTTAACTAATGTCCTTTTTTGCCAATGAAATCGTTCTATGCTTTTTCCCTATGATATATCCACATTTTAGAGAGCCGAAACATGCACCAGTTAAGATTATGAATCATCCAAACATTCTAAAGAAATGGCTGTCAAATTGAGAAAGAGGAATAGAGGCACCCATAACCTGGATAATCCTGACCAATTGAGATCATTCAATGTAGTTAAAGTAGCTTTATATGCTTGTTCAGCCAAATAGCTTATTGACCTTATGTCATCTATAGTACTTTTTTGAGTGACTTATTTGCATTTCTCCGTTCAGTCGTGATTATTACTCCTATACATGACTTTTTAGCTAAACGAAATCTTCGGTGATGCAGAGGAGCAGAAGAAGATGAACGCGACCTACATTATCAGTATTGCAAGGAAACTTGGATGTTCGATATTTTTGTTACCCGAAGATCTGATTGAGGTAATCCTTCATTTGGCTAATCCCTACTAAACATGCATGGCTAATTGATGCATCCTATCTTTAGTTTCGGGCAATAATGTGAATTTGCTGCCTCTAATAGTAAATAAAACAAGTCAATTCCCTCTACATTTGTTGTGTCCTCTACTCAGTGGCAGAGCTAGTTTACCAAACAGAGCTCAACAAAATTTCTATAAATTGTCGATTCCCCGAAACACAACAGAGCATCTCTCTGAATCTGCCTGATGAAATTTCTGCCTCCGCCAGTGCCTTAACTGTTTTATACAGAAAAGGGCAGCCCGGTGCACTAAGCTCCCGCTAGCGCGGGTCCGGGAAAGGGAAGGACCACAAAAGTTTATCGTACGCAGCCTTAATTGTTTTATACAAAATCATAATATAGTGGTGTGTTTTAATCAGGTAAATCAGAAGATGATCCTCACACTGACAGCAAGTATAATGTATTGGCACTTGAAACAACCAATGGAGGACCAAACTTGTACATCTTCAGATAGTGATAGTAGCTCAGTCGACACAACTTCAACCTCAACGTTGGATGATACTGCTTCTGAGTGTTCAATGGATGAAAACAGCAACAGATAACTGGGAAATTTTTCACGTGTGCTGATTATTTTTTATAAAGCTCTTTGTGGTCATGATTGAAATATTGAAAAAATTAGGGTATATGGCTTTGTAGTAGTCAATAGTGTTCGATTGCAGTTTTCCTAAAAGCAAATATATATATAGTGAATATAGTTAAGAGAGTTTTTATTTTTTTTATTTTATTTTTTTGTATTGTATAATTGATCTTCTGTAGTACCTTGGCTTTTATATATGAAAGAATTACAAGAAAATACACATTACTTCACACCATAACAAAAAATGACTCATATTTTTAAGTTTTACCCCACCTAGCCCATATTGTACACATTTTGAAAACACTAGCTCTTGCAAATTCAAAATTTGTGTTCTTACAACCATTGCTTCTAAAAACTATGGAGTTAAATCTGTGTTCTCACAACCATTGCTTTCACTCGCTCTTCTTCTTACATCTTTTACATATGCTTCAAGGGGCCATCCGCCATTACTGCTGCTCCCCCTATGTCACCTAGTTGCAATGTAAAAAAATTAAAGAGTAGAAGTCCACCATTGAAGGTCATTCAAATCTTTGCTTTAAAAAATAGAATTTTTTGAGTTTGTTAATTGTTTGGATTAGGTGTTGTTCCAATTGATTGAAAATATCAAAGGGGTTCAAAGTTTAAATTTGAAGTGATTTGGAGTAGATTTGAGCAAGATTTGAGTTAAATTTCAGAAAAGACGCAATGAAGAAGACGAAGTCAGTTTTTTGTATAATTATGCATAATCTTGTATAATAGTGTATATGAGTGTATAAACACCTTTTATACACCTTTATACAAATGTCTGTAGACGAACGTCTTCCATGATTTTCAGTTGCAATTCTTGTTCAAAACTAGTCCAAATCTCCATTAAATGACTTCAAATTTTATATACAATCTCCTTATACTATTTCTAACAAGTCTAAATAACCCCCACTTCAAAATTCTCACAAAATCAAATTCGAAATTTAAACCCACATATTTAAGCTTGTTAAAAATCTAATTTTCACCACCCAAATAGATTTGATTTGTTGAACTAATATTTGAGTCACAGTTACTGATTCGAAAATTAACTTAAAAGCTTGTGCAATCTTTTTTAAAAATTAAATAGTAATTTTGAGAACCTATTGTAGTTGGATGTTGAATCTTAGCCTATTATTTTTGGATTAGTTGGTTGTAAATTGAAATATGGGCTATAACACTGAAAAGTGGGGAGCCCAGTTGTTCTTTTATGAAATTTTCCCTTAAAGTGAATTTGTATGTAAAAACCTAAATAATATTAATATCCAATGAAATATTTTACTCTTCAAATTTAATTAAATAGATAAGTTTTCGAATTTTAATCCATTACGGTTAATACGGGCAGAGCTAGGATGGCGAAAAGGGATCATGTAAACCCTTTCGCCGAAAAATTTCATTGTATGTCAAAATTATTTTTTATGCATAAATAATAGATGTTGAATCCTCTTGGCTTGTTCGTTATTTACTTTTTAATATTTCGAATCCCCTTTGTAAAAAAATTGGCTCTACCATTGACTATTAACGGTTAATATTTCTATTCAGAGTTTGAAGAAAGAAACATAATTAGGCAATATTTAAGAAACTTTTACATAAACCTAGCAGAATAGGTAATTAACATAAATGGAAACTAAATAATTGTATTACTTAATAAAAACCTTTAAATCTGGATCGAGAATCACGTTCAAAGAAATCCAAATAGATCCAATTCCTAAAATAATCAAGCTGACGAGATTCACGGAACAAACAATCCTAAACGTTTGCTTCCTATTTCTTTGCTAGGTAATATTTTCAAGAGAATATGTTACAACTTTGACTGATGGTGCTTATACGTTTTCTATTTAAATGATATATGTAATAAATTATATAATAGTGGTATTTATAAAGTATAATACACATCTACAAAGAATATGTATGGTATAATTTGTTTATTTACATATTATGATGAGTATATATATAATTTATATATGTGGTATAAAATACATATAAAAATATATATAAAACATATTGCTGAAATATTTATATTATAAATTATCAAAATATAATATACTTAAAATATATTAAAGGTATATTCTGAATAAAAATAAAATTGTACAGCCAAAAGTGTAAAACTTAAAGGAAAAAATACTAAAATTCTCATTGTGCAACCTCATAAAGAGGGATTATTTTTTAGATATTCTTTTTTTAAAATCTTTGATATATTTGGATAAGTGTTATTTATGGAAGAGAAGAAAAAAATTATGGAAGAGAGAGGGAAAAGAAAATGTAATTGCGAAAGTATATTGATGTAGAGGGATCCCTTAGTTAATGAGTTACTAATGTGAAGGTGCTAAAAAAGTATAAAAAAAAAATATGCCAGTTTTGAAATAACCAAAGATTACTATCGTTTATGAGAATAGTTTTTAAAAATGGCGTAACCATGTAAAAATTATTGGGATTTGGACTTAAATTAATTGGTTATAGCCTTAAAGGATAGTAAAGTGGCCCAAGTGGTGGATAAATAAATGGCCTAATATTAAATATTGTGTGTGTGTGGATAAGTGAAGCCCAATAACTATTGGCTTGTGATGAGTGTCACACCTCCTTTTTACTACCCGGAAGGGTATATAAGGGAGTTTTTCCAATTTAAGTGACAATCGAAATGAGATTATTTATTTAAAATTCAGAGTCGCACTTGGAATGATTTATAGTGTCCCAAGTCACCGGTTTAAAATCCCGAATCGAGGAAAGATTGACTCTAATTATGGTCCGCGAACACAGAAATCCGGGTAAAGAATTTTGTTAATCCGAGAGAATGTGTTAGGCATTCCCAGTTCCGTAGTTCTAGCACAGTCGCTCAACTATTATTATTGACTCAATTATCCGATTTAATTACACATTTAAAACATACGTGCCCCTTTTAACCTTTTAGCTGCTTTTAATATTTCAGGAAATTTCAAAGTTATTTAAAACACATCGTAAGCCACGCTACATAAAATGTACCCGTGATTGACGACACGTTCTATTTAACCTTGTTGGAAATGAGAACCGGATCACATGAAATGTACACCCGGATTTATATTTACATGTCATGACCATGCCACGGAAATCGTACCCATGACCACGATAATTTATTGTTTCCTCTAGGCTCTAACCAAAATTAAGATAATAGGAATAAGGTTGCTAAACATACTGAACTAGCACTTGATTGAATTAAGTCCACAACAGTCAGATATCTTCTACTATGTGTCATCCTTATCACTTTTCGGTTGAACGACACAGAGATAACTAGCATTTAAAGATAGACTTGCCAAATCCCACGATAAATTGACAATGGAGGACATCAAACTTTTCACATGGATTCTTTTGATCAAATAAAAGAATAACAAATTCATTCCGAATGGAGCAGAGTATTAGTATCAAACATCAAAATACTACTTATTAGACAGAAAGCTCACACGCTTAGATTGTATTTGGTACCTGTGAGAACAATTCAGCCAAACAAATTAATGATTCTCCTTCGCTTCTGCATGACTTTTATTGTTGAAGAATCTCACTCGACAACAACGATACAACTCAAAATTTTCAAACGAAACTCGATAAGCTTTCTTTATATACGCGGATCTCCAAACGATTACAACTTAATCAGAATTTCGGCGATTGAACTCGAAAGAAAGATAAGAAAAGAACATCAACAAATTCGAACAAGGAACGCGAGCCAAATCGGAACCTCGAACCAGAAACCTCGACTGGCAACTCCAGATCTCGAAAAATGTTGTCCCGGTAGCTACTCTACTAAAATTCGTCATTACCCTCCGTAGTTATCTCTAAAGGTGTTAAACGGGCTGGGTTGGACCGGTTTCGGACCGGCCCAGACCGGTAGAACCCGGAACCGACCCGACCCGATAATAGGGGGCTTAGGCGAGGTAGGGGGTTGGCTCGGTTTAGTTGGCCCAAATGGGTAACCGGAACCGGTTGAACCCGGCAGAGTGAATAGTACCTCTTATCGGGTTAACCGGCCCGGTTCAAAGGGCTATATTTTTTTTAAAAAAAAATTGGAACTGGTGGGCCCCACAGACCGTTAGCAACGGTCAAACCATGTTTTGGTCCGTTGGCCAATGGAAATATTGCACAAATAGCCTATTTGTTTTAATTTTTAACCCTTTTTCAATTTACAAAACTAACCTTCTCTAAAACTATAAATACCCCCCTCCCCCTCTTCTTCATTTCTTCACTCAATACTCATTTCTCAATCTCAATTTCTCTCATTCTCTCATTATCCTATTTGCAAGACTTCAAGTCTTCAATCTAATTTTATTTGGCTCTCTTTTCTTGAATTTAATTTATCGTGTTTTGTCATTCGGAATTTGAAGTTTGAACTTTGAACAATTGAAGTTCAAAATTGAAATACTTGCTTGACGTTTGTTCGTGGTAATATCGGAATTGCCTAATCAAGTGCTCAATTTATTGTCGAATTCGGTGCACTCCCTCCAACTCTTTCTCTTATTTACTATTTTAATTCCATATTTAATTTTAGCTTATACTTTAATTTTTACAATATGTTTAATGCTGCTAAAAGAGCGTGTAAAAGAGTTACTGGTAGGAGAAATAAAAAAAGAGGTAGTCCTTCAGCATCTAGTAGTAATAGTAATAACCCATTATCATTTACACATGTTTCCGAATCATCGCCTAATGATAATTTAGATATAGATTATGAACAATTACAAGAAGATTTTGGAATAGAAGATAATGAAATAGGAATGGAAGATGAGATACCAGCTACACCTACTAGTGTTGGAGCTGGTAGTGTTGGAGTTGCTACAAGGGGTGGTGGTCGTGGCACTAGTAGTAGACCACTTGTAGCTCCGACTACTAATCGTAGAAAAAGAAGTAAGGTTTGGAATTTTTTTGAAATAATAGAAGGTACTGATAGAGTTAAATGCAAAATTTGTAAATGTGATTTTAAACATTTGACTGGAGGAAATTTAGGGGGGACTGTGACGCTTAGTAGACATATGAGAACTAAGCATCACATAGAATGGGGCGCTAATGATGATGGAAATCAAACAACTATTAACCCTACTACTGGAGGTCTAGTGAAATATGATAAATAAAGGATCGTGAGGAGTTAGAAAAAATGATTGCTTTGGGTTGCCTACCTTTTTCTTTTGCTTCTTCATCATATATTATTATGTATATTCAAAGGATTTACAATCATTTATTTAAAGGAATTCCTAGAAGTACTTGTAGAGC